GAGAGAGAGAGAGAGAGAGAGAGAGAATGAGAAGAACCGGAAGGCGACCATCCCACCTACATGGAGGAGACAGGCAGAGTCGATCACATCAGTTGCAGAAATGGAGATTTTGCAATGTCAGTCTGACATCTCTGTGTGCCTTAAATGGCCAGTGGACGGCCGGGCCATTTAGAAGTAACACAGGGCCATGGAAAGGGCTCGGTGTCGGGACCACGAAAAGGCTGCCAGCGCCAGCCAATTTGCACACTGCCTTAGGGCGCGGGCAAAATTCCCCCATCGGACAAAAGAGGGTCAGGTCCACTGAGCAGTTTAAACCATCCTCTTCAACGCAATGCCGGCAATGTTGTGTTGTCATCATCACAGTCAACGAAGGATACAATGCCAACCTCGTCCATCAACTACCGTCTTCCCTCGAGCATAAACCACCCCGAAAATGAATGTACACAAGCTATGTTTCTGGTTCGATGCAGTGTTCGGAGGAAGACGGTAGGGATCAACAATAACATGCATGTTGTAGAATCCCAAACAAAAAGCTCATCAAGCACATCTTCCTCCTTTCCTCCTCCTCCTCCTCCTCCTCCTCCTCATCATCATCATCATAAGCTCATCACGCACATCTTCCTCCTCTCCTCCTCCTCCTCCTCCTCCTCATCATCATCATCATCATCATCATCATCGTCATCGTCATCATCATCATAAGATCACCATGGCCGTTATGATAGCATGAGGACGACTATTTATAGATCAGACGAACATGAATGAAGAACTCCATTGACAGGACCAAAGAAGAGACAACTCAGCCATGCTGCAGGACACAACGTGGCTGCATTAATCGGTCAAAAAATGTAAACCAACCAATCCACCGCGAGATCAATCAATTAACGAACAACTGATTATACGAACCAACCAAACGACCAATCAATCATCAGTCGAGCAACCAACCGAACCAATCAAGATGTGACGATGTCAGTACATCCCATGCATGACAAGAGAGACCAGACCATGTCCGATCGCAGAGAAATGAGATTCGACCGAAGCAATTGCAATCGCATCCAGTTCAATCCGAGATGCAACCGGACATAATCCAACGGTCCACTACCGCCATTTATTATCGTGACAAGAGCAGAGAGAAAAAGCACCTGCACTCAAATTACAAAAAGAACAGAAAAGAATCAGTAGAAGACCAAAGAGTCGCACCAAGCATGCATATCACGCAGCCAAACCCATCTACAAAGTAAGGGCAAAGGGGGAAAAAAAAAAAAAGGCCAAGACCAGCAAAGCTATAACATGCAGGAAGCTAAAAATAGGCTCTCACCCACACAATCGAACAGACAAAACCCTGCTATGGTTACAGCCAAGAGATATATATCAGAACCCACTGCAACAATGGCAATGCAAACGACTTCAACAATGAGAATGCAAACGAAGAAGAGAAATAGGATATCAGAACCCAGTGCAACAATGGCAATGCAAACGACTGCAACAACGAGAATGCAAACGAAGAAGAGAAATAGAGTGGCGGCAAGCGAAGAGAAACAGAGTGGAGGCAAACGACAAGAACTAGGGTGAAGACGGACGAAGAAAAGCAAATTTGATAGGAGTTCCATCGGAGCAAAAAGAGCCGATACGAAAAAAACAAAACAAAAAAAAAAAAAAAAGCCGATACGAAAGAGAGAGAAGACGAGGAGGCAAGTGAGATGATCGGGGATGTAATACTGAGGGGGTCCACGAGAGCAAAGCCGATCCAGAAAAAAGGAAAGAACACGAGAGGGCAAGCGAGAGAGTCAGTGCAGAGCGAATTACTAGAGAAGGATAGGAAGGAGTCGTGAGGGAGCGAATTACTAGAGAAGGATAGGAAGGAGTCGTGAGGCCGGAGGCCGGGGATGATGCATTATAGGGGTCAAAGGAGATTCCACGGAGGTAGAAAAACATGCCCCCGGTTGTGAATTCACTACTAGCATGTCATCATTTTTCCCCGCGATAGTCTTTTAAAGAAGTGGATATTAGGGAAAAAGGGGCGTGAGGGGGGGAGATAAAGGGGTCAGGGATGTAATATACGGGTCAAAGAAGTTTCACGAGAGCAGGGTTGGGGGGAGAGGGGCGGAAGATTTGTTTGAGGGGCGGGAGGAGGGGCGCGAAGAAAGTGAAAGGGTAGCCGGGGATGGGAGGAGAGGGGGTGCAAAAAAGCACACAGACCGTGAGTAACGCGAGGGGATGACAAAGAGATCGGAAGCAGGATGTGAGAGGAGAGAAACGGCGCGGAAGGAAGGAGAGAGAGAGAAAAGAGATGAAATTGAGAGAAGGGGGGAACGTTGCTGAAGAGAGGAGAAAGTAGGAGAGAGAGAGAGAAAAGAGATGAAATCGATTAAAAACAAAACGAAAAGGAGTCGGACCTGCATTAAGGCAGCGAATGGTGGAAGCAAACACACACAAAAAATCCAATCGAACAAGGGAAATGAAGAGGGAGCACCGATCTGCCGGGGGGGGAGGGGATTGACGAAAAGGGGGGAGGGGCAGGGGGGAAGGCGACGAAAAGCTGGGGAAAGGGGGCGGGGAAGAGAAGGGGGAAAGAAATCGAGGCGAGAGAAGCCGCAGGGGGGGAGAGGGGGGGGGAGGGGGGGGGGGGGGGGGGGGGAAGAAAACAGGAGAGAGAACGAAAGGGGAAAGGAGCTTGTGTTCCCTCCTCATCATTCATGACGCCGCTGGGAAGTTGTCCAGCAGCCATTGCCTGACATCAGCAAGCTCGGAGGGGTTAACCCCATGGCCAACCCCCGAGTAAGTCTTGAACGAGACTTTGGAAAATCCTGATCTCTGAAGAAAAGCCGCAGACAGGTGGCCCCAATTGCAAGCAACAAGCATGTCATCTTTCCCATGACCCATGAAGATGGGCAGCTCCGCCGCCGCCGCCTTCCCCTCCGCGGGGATGGTCGCACTCTGCAAATGTTCCGCTGCTGGCAGCCATCCGCTCAAGGCGATTGCGGAGGACAACGTGTTTCTGCCCAACGCCGGTTGACCGTTGATTAGCGATCCGACGGCCATACGAGTGACAGTGTAGAGCGACAAGGCGCCGCCCATGCTGAACCCTCCGACCCCGAGTTTGATGGATGGCTTGCCAGCTTGCTCCGCTGATTGCCGCTCTTTCTCAAGAATGTCCGCCACGTACGTCGCCGCGCGATCGAGCCCCTCCACGTCCTCGGGCGAGTCGGCCGACAAACCCTTCACGTCGAACCAACCCGTCGATGGGAAACCGCCGTTGAGACCGATCGGACGGATGGGAGCGGTAGGGAGGACCCACTTGATCTGGGGCATGGCAATCATTCTGAGCAGGTCGACCCATCCGTGGCCCGTGTCGCCCAGCCCGTGGAGCCACACAATAGTCCCCGTGTGGTCCGCCGTTGGGGGGAGCACGATGGTCTCTTCCGCGGGGTGCCAGGGCGTGAGCGCGCGCCCATCGGCACCGCCGCTGGCCGCCGTCGTTCCCGCCATCGCCCCTCCGGACGAAATCGCACCAGCGCTGGCAAGCTCCGACCCCGACGAGGCCGCAGGCTCGGAAAACGACAAAAAACTACCGGCGGATCGCCTGCCACGTGTCCCGGCGGCGACAGTTACTACGGTTCTTCTACGTGGCGCCTTCTCCGCCGCCGCCGCCGCTGATGCGCTTGATGTGCCTGTCGCAACGGCCTGCTTACGTTGCTGCCCAGCGGACTCGCTGCTGGCGGTTATTCGCGCCGCCGGAGGACCAGACGAGCCCGCTACGCAACAAGCAGGCCGGACGACAGAAGAGAAAGAAGCCCCCACGCTGGCAATGGCGGCGTCGCCGCCGGCCAACGCCACCGCTCCTTGCCAGTGCTTGCTGGACCGAACAACTAGAGGCCGAGACCGAGACCGAGTGGTGCCGTCGTCGTTATCAGCGTAAGGATCAGCCCTCTGGAGGGTTACTTGCAGACCATAGCTGCGGGGGGCTGTGCTGCGCCTGCAGGCATTAACGAGTACGCGTGGGAATTTTCTGGGATTGTACACAGGATTTCTGAATATGTGCGATACAAGCTTCATCCTCCTTCTCGGGCCTGCACAAACACAAAAACACACGCGCGAGACATTTATCATTTATCTATATGGATCCATGTTTTTCGTCCCCTGCTTATGGCACCTCTCTCTCTCTCTCTCTCTCTCTCTCTCTCTCTCTCCAACCCACACGCAGACAAAAAACTCGACTTTATCCACCGAGATCTCTTCATTTTCCCTTTGAACCGTGGCGCATACGCACCCTTGCTCGCCCCCTCACAGCATTTGCTGCCATAGCCGCCTTTCTTGTCGTTTTCCCCTCCTTTTTTTCTTCTTTCTTTTCTGGACAGAATTGAGAAGGAAGGCGAAACGGGACACATCGCCTCTCTCTCTCTCTCTCTCTCTCTCTGTGTGTGTGTGTTGCCCACAAAAAAAAAGTACAAAAAAAGACTCACCTCTCTCTCTCTCTCTTTCTCTCTCTCTCACACACACACAAAAAATATATATATATATATATGAACATAACAGGACTCACCTTCATCCCACGCGATCAACTCGAAGCCTCATTGCTGATGTTTTGCAGCCAGACGGCTATCTGTCCTACTTGCTCCTCCTCCTACTCTGTTCCCATTCCTGATGTTTTGCCCTGAGATGGACATGCATGCACTCACGCACAATTCCTGAGGTCTGACACGCGCAACGTACTTTTCCTGCTCACTCTCCTACACTTTCCCCCACCCGTCTGTCAATAGATTGGCCTATCAATCGTCACGCAAGAGCCCATTACCGGCACGCTCTCCCCGCCCTCCTGAAACCTTGCAGGTTGTGATTCACCCTGAACTTCCAAACCGTCGGCCATATGCACGTGGCTCTGCTATTCAAGCCAAGAACAAGCAACGGGAGCGGGTGGTTGCTCTGCCCCTACCGACTTCCCCCGCCCACAACGCACCCTGATAATGAATGCGTACAAGCTCCTGATAATGATTGTATACCAGCCATCTTTCCGGTCGCGGTACAGGCATTATGAGGGTGTTTTGTGTTCGGGGGAAGAGGGCAGTGACCCTGCGAAGGCACCTCCGTCTGGAGGAAGCTACTCTCGCCCTACGGTAGGCTACTGACTGACATACCTACTGTAGCAAGCCCGACTACCAAGAGACGGTGGGAGTCTACCGGTTTTGGGAACTTTTGGCCTCATGGCATTGCTCACGACCACCGTTTGAGCGGGTGTCGCGGTGGGACCGTTGGGAACGGCCGGTATTCCCAGCCTGTCAGGGGTGCGTTCTATACCCTGAATCAAATTTTCGTCATTTGGTCGGGGTCGCTCGTTCGGGTCCAAACGGTAGTTGGAAGGGTGGTGAATTTGCTGGGGGGGGAATTCATGGGGAACGAGCAGTTGTTGCTTGCGGAGGACCGGTAGCTGCCCGTAGGAGGCGGAGGAGGCTGCGGTCCTTGAGGTCGCAGCCCATCAGGGGTGTGTTTTATACCCCTGAATCATATTTTCGTCGTTTGATCGTACCAGTTGTCTGAACGGGTCCAAAGGGTGGTGAATTTGCTGGGGGGCCAATTCGTGGGGAATGGGCAGCTTGCAGCCCGTCAGGGGTGTGTTTTATGCCCCTGAATCAA